AGGCTCTCTAACCACCCCTGCCACAACTTACTTAAAAATATAATTGACATTTTATTCATAACCTGTGTTATTATTTCTGCGATGTTGTAGTCATTAATGATGACGTAGAAAACAAGAAGTCTCTTTCTTTTGAAAAATCTCTGACAATGCACTTTGAAATTACATCACTGACTTTAGTATTGCTAAATTTTCAGTCCCCTGTTCTACATTTAATACTACTAAACACTCTGTCCTTGGGAGCATCTCTTTCCTGGACTGTGCTCTGTCACTACCTCCCTCCAGCATTACTTCTCTGATTCCCATGAACACACTTTCAACATCTGCTCCTTACTTGGTCTCTATTGTTGTTAAGTGCCCTCGAGTCAGTTCCGACCCATAGCGACCCTGCACAGGGTTTCCAAGGCTATAAATCTTTACGGGAGCAGAAAGCCTCATCTTTCTCCCGCGAAGCAGCTGGTAGTTTCGAACTGCTGACCTTGCGGTTCACAGCCCGATTCATAACCACTACGCTACGAGAGCTCTTTTACTTGGTCTCTAGTAGTGTCCACAATCTGAAGTAATGAAATACTACAACTGGAGGTGGTTGTTAACAGTAGAAATTTATTGTCACATACATTTCATGGAGGCTAGTGGTCTGGATTCTGGATACTGACAAGGCTTTATTCTGTAGAAGATTCTTACATTACTCTTTCTTATTTCAGCTTCTGGTAGCCCCATACATACCTTGACTTGCAACTGCAGCATCACTTATTTTCACATGCCTTCTTCCAACTGTCTTTCTGTGCCTCCTTTTCTCTTTTGTAGGATATTACTGGTGTGGTGCTGTGGGTTAATGTGCCAGACTGTAAAGCCATTTGAACTGCAAGGTCTGACGTTCAAGCTCACCAACCGCTCCTCAGAAACCCTAGACAGGGTCACTATGGGTTGGAACCAACTTGATGGCATTTAACCACAACTCAAATTGGATTAGAACCCACTGCAAAGAACGTATTTCCAAAGAAGGTCATGTTCACAGATACCAAAGGTTACAACTTCAATACATCATTTTGGTGAACACAGTTCCACCCATAACAGACTCAGGACACTTTTCCTTTGAGAGCTCAGGTATTCCTAAACCTTCCTTTTCCCTCTCTAAATGAATTCCCACCCTAGGCAGGTTCTGTTCTAACTCAGGTCTGGCCTGTTAAAGCTTCCCATTGAATTCATCATCACCACATCAAATACAAATATTTCTCCAAAAACCTTTCCCCACCACCCCCTGGGTGTCAGTGTCAACACTCTTGGCCCAGTCCTTGGACTTCAAATGTTGCTATTACCTGTGACTCATCCCTTTGAGTCCCTTTGTTAGCACAGAGTTCCTTTGGGTTGTTTTTTTGTTTTTTGTTTTCCATTCATATACTCATTGCTCCTGCCCTTCCAGGTAAGAACCACATGACTCTAGCCACTGTCTCCTAAGAGACATGCTACTCAGCTTCCATAGTGCCACCAGGCTCATCTTCCCTTAGGTGAACCATTTACATGTTCCAGGGTTTTCCTCTTTCCACTCTTACCGACTGGTTACCCATTTCAAAATCTTTCTGCCCAATTACTACCCGACTTTCAAGTATTTCCATAGTTTTCTGTGAAAACCTATAACCTTGTCTTCATTAGCTAGTGCTGTTGTAACAGAAATACAGCAAGTAACAAACAGACGTTATTCCCTCACAGTTTAGGAGACTAGAAGTCTGAATTCAGGGCGCTGCCTCTAGGGGAAGGCTTTCTCTGTGGGCCCAGAGGGATAGTACTTTTTTTGGCAAAGTGTCGATCTCCTCCTGTCTCAGTTTGCTCCTCTGTCCTAATCTGCTCACTTTACATCTAAACGGTGATTGGTTTAAAACATGTTCTACCATTATGACCACTCTAACATAATAAACAAAAAACATTCCCAAATAAGGTTATAACACAGGTATGAAACCGAAAACAAACTCACTGCCATCAAATTGATTCCAACTCATAACCACTGTCATGAGTTGATACAACTCATAGTGACCCTATATAGGGTTTCTGAAATTATACATTTTTACAAGAGCAGATAGCCTCATTGTTCTCCCATAGAGTGGCTGGTGGGTTTGAACTGCCTGTGGTTAGCAGTCCAACAATGAATCCATACCATCATCATTGATATTTACAATACATAGTATGGGGTGGGTGAGGGACAAACCATACCATATGGTGCTATAGAATAAGCACTGGACTGCTGACCACAAGGTTCAAGCCCCCCAACTGCTCCTCAGAAACCCTATGCAGGTCACTATGACATTTAACAGTGACATTAACTCAGTGACATTTAACAGAGGTACAATATCATACATCCCACTTGGTCCACTTGAACTCTGCTCTGAACAGGCCTTTTATCATATCATGGTTCCATGAAAACCTTGTGTTTGTTACATTAGCCTCTTCTTAGCTCACCCTGCCTCTGATCAACTACTGCATTTACAACCTGCACTTAATATACATTTCTGTCTTGTTTACACTTGTACCATGTGCATCAACTTTGTTTTCCCTGTGTACAAAGATAGAGTCATTCTTTCAACATTCTTAAACTATGCAAGGAGGCTTCAAAAAGTTTGTAGAAAATTTCCATATCTTTCCATTCAATTTTCCTTGGAATTTTTGAAGCCCACTCATATCTGACTCAACCACAACATCTTTAATGTTGTTGTTGTTAGGTGCCATCGAGTCAGTACTGACTCATAGCAACCCTATGCACAAAGGAATGAAACACTGCCCGATCCTGGGCCAACCTCACAATTGTTGCCACGCTTTTTAGCCCATTGATGCTGCCACTTTGCCAATCCATCTTGCTGGGGGTCTTCCTCTTTTTCTCTGACCCTCCACTTTACCACACATGATATCCTTCTCCAGTGACTGCTCATTCCTGACAATATGTCCAAAGTATGAGAGATGAAGTTTGTCTATTCTGGCCTCCAACGAGCACTTTGGCTGCACTTTTTCCAACACAGATCTGTTGGTTCTTTTGGCAGCCCATGGCACTTTCAGTATTCTCCTCCAATACCATAACTCAAAAGCATCAATTCTTCTACAGTCTTCCTTATTTACTGTCCAGCTTTCGCATTCATACGAGGTTATTAAAAATACCATGGCTTGGGTCAGGCGCACCTTAGTTCTCAAGTTGACATCTTTGCTCTTCAACACTTTAAAAAGGTCTTGTGCAGCAGATTTGCCTAGTGCAATATGTTGTTTGATTTCTTGACTGCTGCGTCCATGAGTGTTGATGGTTTATCCAAGAAGAATGAAGTACTTGACAATTCCAGTCTTTTCTCTGTTGATAAGATGATGTTTATTGGTCCAGTGGTGAGAATTTTTGTTTTTTGCTTTTTTTTTACATTGAGATGCAATCCATACTGAAGGCTGTGCTTTTTGATCTTCATCAGTAAATATTTTAAGTCCTCTTCACTTTGAACAAACAAGGTTGTATCATCTGGATATTACAGGATTTAATGAGTCTTGCTCCAATCCTGATGCCACATTTTTCTTCATAGAAACCAGCTTCTGGGATTATTTGCTCAGCATACAGGTTGAATAAATATGGTGAAAGAATAAAACATTGTCACACACCTTTCTTAATTTTAAACTATTCAGTGTTCCATGTTCTGTTCGAACAACTGCCTCCTGGTCCATGCCTCATGAGCACAATTAAGTGTTCCGGAGTACTCATCCTTGGCAATGCTGTCCATAGCTTGTCATGATTCACACAATCAAAAGCCTTGTGTAGTCAATAAAGCACAGGTAAACATCTTTCTGATATTCTCTTCTTTCAACCAAGATCCATCTGACATCATCAATGATCTAAAACAGCAAAAAACAAAATACATAAAACCACTGAGAGACAAAAAAGAAAATGTGCAGCCCTATTTTCTAAGTGAGGACTCTAAAATATGAGATTCATATTTTAAACCTTAATAATTACATATCATGTTTATGGTACCTTTTTCATGCCATGGAGTCAGTTCCAACTTTGAACCACCATCCTTGGGGTCAAAATGACCTTGCAATCTAGTGTTTTATTCCAAAGTGCCGCACCAGGACTCCAAGCATATAAAGAGGGGGAAAAAAGTGGGGAATACAAAGAGATCTCACCTCGGGATCTGCTTATTGGTGGGGTCTGAAAAGCCAAACTTTAAAACACAAGGACTCTGATGACTGGGTAATATGAAAACTAGACCTCTGGAGAATAAAATAAAAACTGGGCCTATGTTAAGCCACAGGAGAAACAAAGGGTGGTGGTGTGGGGGTGACCATTTTATTTACGCTTATGTGTTGTTTTATTTTTAATAGTAAAGAAACCACCTAGAAAGATGTCATTTGAATATAAAGCACTGTTGCTGTGAAGTGCTGTCAAGTTGATACCAACTCATAGCAACCCTGTATAGGATTTCCAATGAGCAACTGGTAGATTTCAACTGCCGTCCTTTTGGTTCAAACTGACCTTGTGGCCCAGTGCTTATATATGACATTAAATGCCATTAGATTCCTTTTACTTTTTATTTATTCATTCATTCATTTCATTCCTTCAGCAATATTTATTGAGTCCTTCCTATGCTAGTCTGGAGGCACTGGTACACTGTCAGCATAAAAAAAAATAGTTTGAATATCATGAAAAGAGGAAGGATTTCCAATTACATGTTTATATTGTTTTCAATCTAAAGTGAGCCTGAGTTCTGAGCTGATGGTTAAGTTCTGCTTACCAGGACTGATGTGAAGAGAGCACCCACAGCAAGAATGATGAGGCTAGCTTTATGAAGAATCTGAGGGGATGGGGAGAAAATGGAAGGAATATATGAAGATTATTCAACCAGAAAGCTACCATTTGGCTTTATGCTTTCAGATAAAATCCAGAAGTGTTTTAAATGTGATGTGTTATAAACTGTTCTTGTTTTTTGCTTTCCTGTAATTGGAGCAACATACTAATTTCTACAAGTTGTGACTACTAACAGAGAGCAATCACCTCACAGACTTGTACCGAAGAGACAATACCATCGAGGTGAAGGGAAATGGCCACCTGCAAAGTCCTCGATTCCCAAACAAATACCCTCGGAACGTGCTTTTCACATGGAGACTCTATTCACCAGAGCAAACAAGGATACAGCTGGCATTTGACAATCAGTTTGGACTGGAGGAAGCAGAAAATGGTATCTGTAGGTAAGTGAAAAAAAAAAAAAATCCATCCTTAGGGGGCTTTTCCAAGGTATAAAAAAGATAAATTTAAAACATCACATCAAACTTTCCTCTGGGGCCTGTCTATCTGAGAGGCACCACTGCTTTTTCAAAGAGCTTTTATGTCTGCCCTAGCAGACGAATGGCATCCAAAATAAATTGGTACATAGACTGCAGCTACAGACAGCCAAATAAATTGCCATGACTCACAGAAATTCACTTACAGGATTGTTAGAGCCAGGCTGCATGACTACAAAAGAAGGGACCCTAAAGCACCCCATCTTTGTCACATGCAGAGCAGCCTTTGTGAGCAGGTAGACCATCCTCTATCCTTTGTCACCTCCAGTTGTCATGTGTTGTTAAATGCTCTGGAGTCCCTTCCAACTCATAGCGACCCTGTATAGGGTTTCAAGGCTGTACATCTTTGTGGGAGCAGAAGGCTTAATCTTTCCCCCAAGAAGTGGCTTATGGGCTCAATCGAATGACCTTGTGGTTCAAAATCATGTGGCTGAGATCAAAGCCTGCGTGGGCCTCTTTGTTTTTGTTAACTGCTGACATGTCAGGCTCCAACTCTTGGTGACCCATGCACAAGGAAACTACCTAGCCACATTATCCCCAGGATCAGAGGTATACTGGACGTGCATGATTCATAGAGTTTTTATTGACTGGCTTTCTAATGTAGATCGCCAGCACGCTGTTTTCCCAGTCCACCGTAATCTGTAGGATAAGCACTAGACTGTGAACCAGCCACTCTGTGGGAGAAAGATGAGTCTTTTTGCTTCCGCAAAAAATTAGCAGCCTCAGAAAGCCTATACAGGGTTGCCATGAGTTGAAATTGACTCAACCGCACTTAACAACAATAGTTTCAGTCTGGAAGCTCCAGTGAAACCTATTCAGTATCATAGCATTACACTATGGTTAGGTTTTTGAAGAATAAACCCCTGCTTAGCTCTGGGAGCTGATCCAAGCCACACTATAGTAATAGGTTCAGCACTGCGAGCAGAACATGGTCAAAAACGCTGGGTCTGGGCTTGGTCCCGAATCACAGTTTTAAGGCCTTAAAGTTTTAAGTGAGAAAGAATTCAAGAAGCCAACCCCAGCCATTTGTGTGCTCTTCAGCATGTCTGTGTCTGCACAGATTCTGGGCCAGCTGAAGAAAGTGAAATCTGTGCCTGATAATCTTCCTTCTTTGCATATTTATCAGAGAAAACCTATGCTGTTTTTCTTTGAATTGTCCTCTCAGAGCATCTCATTCACTTAATTAACATGTATAAGACTTAGGGAGGATTTTTTTTTTTTTTTTCTCCTTTTGTACTTCACTGCTCACACTTGTTCTGCATTACCAATGAACTACTGAACTACTAAATCCTTTCAACACATTTATTTTCCTTTGAATAATAAAAAGAGGGTACCTCAAATTTGGCTGTCCTTTGTTGTATGTTTATTATGCTGGCTGACAGTTTTTATTATGTTGCTATTTTTCTAAAAATTACAGCAGTGACTATTACTTTCTAGGACCGTGGAAGGTAATGTATGCCAGAAAGCAAAGCGTTATACATACAGGAAGAGTCCGTTGATATTTACAAAGAGAATAAACTAAAGCTGACCTTGTGCCTCTCTAACCTTCAAAGGCAGAACTAATTTCCTGTGCTGGAAATAAAAAGAAAAGATAGAAATTGTATAAAAACCCTGTGCAGCCACTCCTTGGAAATCCTATGAAGGGTCGCTATGGGTTGGAACTGACTCCACAGCACTTAACAACAATGATAACGTATGATTGTTGAAGGTGATGATGTGGAAGAATGTTAGGGCTCCAGTAATGAGCTGGGATTTTGATTCTTGTCATCAGTTGTGAGTGCTTCTAGCATCCTATGAATCAGAATCAATTATGAAAACCTAGTCCTGGACTGCAAGGAGCTCTGGTAGCGTAGTGGTTACGAATCGGGCTGTGAACCTTAAAAGGGTCAGCAGTTCTAAACTACCATCTGTTCTGCGGGAGAAAGATGAAGCTTTCTGCTCCTGTAAAGATTTACAGCCTTGGAAACCCTGTACAGGGGGATAGCTATGAGTCGGAGCCAACTCCACGGCACATAACAGCAACAGCATTATTATTGCTGAGAGCCATTAAGTTGATTCTGATTCATAGAGAAATAGTTAAGTGCTCAGCTACTAGCCAACAGGTTGATGGTTACAATCCACCTGGAGACACTTCAAACAAAAGACCTGGTAAACTTCTTCCAAAAGGTTACAGCCATTGAAAAACTCTTTGGGATGTGCAGTTGCGCTCTGAAGCACATAGGTTGTCCTGAATTAAAGTTGATTCTATGACAACAGGAATCCTAATAGTTTAGGATTATGTTAAGTTGGTAGCTACAAGGTCAATAGTTCAAATCTGCCAGCTGCTCTGCAGTAGTAAGATGAGACTTTCAGTTCCCATAAAGATTTATAGCCTCAGAAGCCCTCTATAGGGCAGGGCCGCTATGAGTCAGAACTAGCTCCACGGCACACCATCACCACCACCACCTCTGGCAATGGATTTTTTTTTTTTTTTTCCTTTGTTTTTTAGTGAGCCCTTTTGGCATTCTAGACTTGAAAATAATAGAGGAAGTGTTAGATGGTTTTCCTTCTGGATCCTTCATCAAATCCAGATGGTGCTCAGAATTAATACGTGGAAGTAGAAGAATAAGAGATGGGAAAATAAAGGAAAAGATAGATTTTTAAAAAGCACCTCAGAATTCTCCTTGGTAAACAAAATGATATTCTTTTGAGTTCAGATTAAGAGTTAAAATTACACCGATTTTGTGTATTTTTAAATAATGACCTATTACACAGGTTTTCTAGTGTAATCATGCTTTTATGCAGTAAATATAATTTATACATATTGCATATAAACGGAAATTAAATTGATTTCCTACCATCTGTTGCAAAGCCTCCTTGATGTTGACATTGTAATATTTTATTGCTTGAATAATGATTCTTTGTTAGTGCTTTTCACCTTCCAAGCATCATATAAATGTTAAGTAATTAATTTACTAAGCACCTAAGAGAGACACAACTGATAAAATTCTATAAACCTTGCAATTTTGCTCATAAGGAAACTGAGGCAAAGTATACAAGGCCTTCATAAATCCTTGTCAGAGAAATGTAGTTTGGTATCACTATTTTTTTCACCTGCTCCTTACATTACCTGCCCAATCCAATAAGAGTCATGAGGAACAAGTGGCTAAGACCACTAAAATCATATTGATTTTTCTTCATATTTAGAGCTGTTATTTTCCATGCTAATTTCTTTTGTAACCATGATAGAAAAAACAAAATGGACATAAACTGACTTCTTCCACTGCTTATCCTGAAAATTCACCACTTGTGTTGTGGTTTTAGTATCTGAAGAAGTTTGGATCGCATAGGGTGGAGGAATGAGAAATTGGCCCAAACGGAAAGCGATAGTTCTACTTATTAAATAGAATATTCTAAATGATTTGGGATTGCAAATGGAATAAGTTATTGTGTTGTTTATATTAGTGTTTGTTGGGTTGATTCCAACTCAGGGAGACCCTATGGACAAATGAACAAATCACTACCGTCCGTGTCTTGCATTATCCCCACAATCGTTGTTAAGTTTGAGCCCATTGTTGTAGCCATTGTGTTAATCCTATGTAAGACAGAACAAAACAATGCCCAGCTTGCACCATCCTCATAGACTTGACTATGTTTGGGCCCGTTGTTGAGTTAGTCTGTTTCCTTGAGAGTCTTCCTCTTTTTTGCTGACCCTCTACTTTACCAAGCATGATGTCCAAAGTACAGTTCCTCCAAATAACATATCCAAAGTATCCTCACTTATTAAGAACATTTCGGATCATATACATTTCACACAAGACAAATCTGTCCATTCTTCTTGCAGTCCATGTTGTTAAGAGCTGTCAGTTGGTTCTGACTCATAGCGACCTTATACACAGAGGGTTCTGTGCCAGCCTTACACTTTTTGTTATGTTTGAACCCTTTGTTGCAACTACTGTGACAGTCCTTTTTATTGGGGGCCTTCCTCTTTTTCGATGACCCTATACTTTATCAAATATGGTGTCTTTTTCCAGAACTGGTTCCTCCTAATAACATGCCTTAAGTATGTATGGCGGTATCTTGCCATCTTTGCTTCTAAGGAACATTCTGGCTATACTTCTTCCAAGACAGGTTTATTTGTTCTTTTGGCAGTCCCTAAAACTCCTGGTATGGTGCTGTAGGATCAGTACTAGACTGTGAACCACTGTTTGGCAGTTCTAACCCACCAGCTGCTCTTTGGAAACCCTATACAGGATTGCTATGAGTCAGAACTGACTCGACAGCACTTAACAACAACAACAACAGTACTTTCAATATTTTTCACTGTCACCATGATTCAAAAGCATCAATTCTTCTCCAGTCTAACTTATTGGATTGTCCAGCTTTTACATGTATTGGAGGTAATTGAAAATAACATGGCTTTGGTCAGGTACACCTTAGACCTCAAAGTGACATGTTGTTGTTAAGTGTTGTCGAGTCAGTTCTGACCCATAGCAACCCTGTATAGGTTTCGAAGGAGCAGTCAGTGAGTTTGAACCATCAAACTTGCAGTTCAAATGGCTTTGCAGTGTGGCGCATTAACCCACAGTACCACACCAGAACTCCCAAATGACATATTTGCTTTTAGAGTTCTTTTGCAGCAGGCTTGCCCAATGTGATACATCATTTGATTTCTTGACTGCTACTTCCATGAATGGGAACTTGGTGGCTCCATATTAAAAGCACTGGACTGTGAACCACAAGGTCTGTGATTTGAGCCCACCAGCTGATCTGTGAGGAAAAGATGAGGCTTTCTGCTTCCGCAAAAATTTGACACCTCGAAAACCCTATCCAGGGTCGAGATGAGTCAGAACCAACTCAATGGCACTTAACAACAACTTCCATGAACATTGATTATGGACCAAAGTAAAATGAATTAAAGTAAAACTTTCATATTTTCTTCACTTATCATAAAGTTGCTTACTGGTCCAGTTGTGAAGACTTTTGTTTTCTTTATGTACAATTGAGGTACAATTGATAATAAAATAATATAGTCTTTGACCTTCATCAGTAAGTGCTTCAAGTCCTCCACACTTTTAGCAAGCAAGATTATGTCATCTGAATATCAGAATCTTAATGAATTTTCATCTAATGCTGATTCCACGTCCTTCTTCATATAGTTCAGCTTTTTGAATTATTTGCTCAGCCTACAGATTGAATAAGTATGGTGAAAGGATACAACTCTAACTTGCCTTTCCTGATTGGAAGCTACATGTATCTTTTTGAATAACTGCCACTTGGTCTATGGACAGGTTCATCATGAGCACAATTAAATGTTCTGGAATTTTCATTCTAAGCAATATTATGTATAATTTGTCATGATTTGCATAGTCTAATGCCATTGCAAGGTCAACAAAACACAGGTAAATATTATGCTGGCATTCTCTGTTTTCAGGCAAGATTCCTAGAAAACGTAACTTTGCCACTGAAGATATATCTTGTGATGGGAAAGTGAAATATTGTGGAAGGACTTCAATGGTCAAATGCTTGTATGGGGTATCTATAGGAGGCTGATTTGCCTTCTTTAATACTGGGATTCTTTGTTTTTAATCACGAATATCTAAAGTGAACGTACTGTCTTACATTCATTTACACTCTGTTAAATAGTCCAGACATTCGTAATATCAGTTAACATACGAAGGTAACTAAGAAAATATTGCCATTGGGGTTCCAGTTCATAAATGCACAGTTTTATTCCAAACAGAACATGTTTAAACATGTCTCTGTGATCAGTAGACAGCTGGAGACAAGTTCTCTCAGCAATAAACTTCACTTCATCTCATTATTGTGCCTTCAAAATAAAACAAAACAAAACAAAAGGTCCAATCAAAACAGTAGCTTCTGAGGGTGTCTGCCGCTGGGCCAGTTAAATCTGATTCAGAGAGGTCAGAAGGTTATAACAACTGTTTGGAGGGAATTTCAAAGGGGTAATCTTGATAGATTTTATCGAAGAACACAGAATATTCATGGGGGCCTATTATGAAGTTTAAGAAATTTGGAATCTACATTTGTGAGAAAAAGATCAGGAAAGTATTTGCTCATTCTTCAAGGGTAGTGAGAAAAAGGTCAGGAAAGTATCTGCTCATTTTTCAAGAGTAGCAAAAACTGTTCTTGGACAATTTCTTTGGGAAACATTATACCATCCACTCTACAACCCTGATCTTGCCCCTTCAGACATCTTGTTTATTCTCCAAACTCAAACATGATTTGAGACTCTCAGAGATGCCAAAGCAGCCATTTTGATGTGGAAAAAATCAGAAAGAGATGGAAACGCTGTTTTCAGAAGTGTTTAGCTATAGATGGGTGGTATGTCAAGAAACAATAGCTTCACAGTTTGATATTTTTGTTTAACATAAGTTTCTATGATTTTGTAGCAAATTTTTTTGGCTTAACCTTATACATCCTCAAAGTTGTATACTTTCTACTCTAGAAGTGTCATGTCTTGCTATGTGATTCTTCCAAAAGACACAGTGTCCCAAATGAGAAGATAGCCCACCATATCAATCCATTAATTTTTTGCAATGACAATGCTGATTCTAGGTGATATATACATATAAAAATAGATCTTCCCTCTCCCAGTATAGTACCTAAATGTGGTAAGTTAATTAATTCCAAAATGGAATTTATTTGGAAAACTTTGTTGTTGTTGTCAGGTGCCATCGAGTCGGAACCGACTCATAGTGACCCCATACATAGCAGAACGAAACAATGTCCGATCCTGGGCCAACCTCACTACCGCTGCCACACTTTATATAGTAATATTCAGGCTACATCTAAAATTCAAGCTACATCTCTTAAAACATGTTAATGAATTATGGTTATTCTTGTTTATAGGATGAGGAAAATGCCAAATGCTCAAAATTAGCCCATTCAATTGATGATGATGTTGGGTGCAACCCTGGCTAAATGGTTAAAAGGGTTCTGTCTGTCAATATATTATTGAAGTTTGAGTATAGAAAACCTGATGTTTCTTTAAATACTTATGTAGGTTATAATTTTCATTACAGATAGAAAATCATGAGAAATCATGTTGTTGTTAAGTGCCATCAAGTCGGTTCCAAATCATAGTGACCCGTTGTTGTTGTTGTTGTTAGGTGCCATCAAGTCAGTACTGACTCATAGCGACCTTATGCACAGCAGAACAAAACACTTCCCAAACCTGGGCCAACCTCACTACTTTTGCCACATTTGAGTCCATTGAAGCTGCCACCTGGCCAATACATTTCATTGGGGGTCTTCCTCTCTTTCTCTGTCCCTCCACCTTACTACACATGATACCTTCTCCAGCAACTGGTCCCTCCTGACAATATGTCCGAAGTATGAGAGACAAAGTTTGGCCATCTTGGCCTTGAAGGAGCACTCTGGCTGAACTTCTTCTAAAATGGATCTATTGGTTCTTTTGACAATGAATGCAACACCATTTCTCTTCAATTTGTCATTTCCGGCATAGTAAACCATGTGGTCATCAGATTCAAAATGACCAATACCAGTCCATTTCAGCTCACTAATGCCTAAGATATCGATGTTTATGCATTGCATTTTATTTTTGACAACTTCCAGTTTTCCCAGATTCATACTTCGTACATTCCATGTTCTGATTTTCAATGGATGTTTACAGCTGTTTCTCTTCATTTTGAGTTTTGAGTTGAGTCACTGAAAACCTTATGAATAGCAGAGAAATACTGTCAGCGACCCTGTATGTTAGTTTAAATTTCTTGGTGAAAGTATGAATGTTAAAGTTTACTTTAATGAAAATATGCTCATGCAGTTCAAATTGATTCTAGATATGACTTTGTGGAAATTGAAGATATATCTGAAACCAGTACTGTTATTAGAGGACGATGGTGTGGACAGAACGAAGTTCCTCCAAGGATAACATCAAAAACAAACCAAATTAAGATAACCTTCAAGTCTGATAATTACTTTGTGGCTAAACCGGGATTCAAGATTTACTACTCTTTTGTGGTAAGTATAATCAGCACCCTGTGATTAAAAGGAGACCTTGGTTTGATGAAGTACAGTGATCATTTTCTATGATTAAATAGAGTGTTGTGAGGATAAATGAACCTTACTTATTTCCTAAAGACATGGTTTGTTGCTACCTTAAAGCCAAATGTTAAAACTTTCTTCAGTAAGGCTTCTTTTGGATTCATTAAGTCGTTCTTTGGACCTATACATGTAAAAGGAGCTGATAGGAAAGCAGAGTCTAAGTTACCTTGATTCACTTGCAACAGGTAAATGCATTAGGCAAATAGAAAATATGTAAGAATTGAACAGATTTTCTAAAACAGAATTCTTCTTTGGTTTGAAAGTTATCTGGGAATCTCTAATTGCAGAAAAGAGACATGGTGAGTTTAGTATAAATGATAAAGCAAACATGGGGAGGAACTATGTTATAATTATAGAGCTTCGGGCTGGCAAGCATTTTAAAGAGCATAGGTTCAACTCAGGACCCAGAGATTGAATCCTACATACTACACATATGCTTATTTGTGGTCTCAACATTACTTAAACCCTTGTGAAGCCATTTCCAACTTTAAATGGCTCTGACTGCCATAAAAGCTTCAACCTCATGCTGAGTCAAAACTACTGTGTAGGAAATTCTAGTTCTTGAGTCTCACACAGTGGTGAATTTTCTTTACTCATCCAATCATTGATAAAACAATAGCAAGTTCCTGCTTGTTGTCAAACCCTTTGATAGGTACACCAGATATCAAGACAAATAAGACTTGGCAAGGCCCTTAAACCTCATAGAGTTTATAGTCTGATGACTATAACAAACAACTAAATGACTTAGCAACAAAGAATGTTGAGTGATAAGACAGAAGAAGTACTGAGTATTATAGGCTAAGCCAGGGAGACAATGGGTTATTTTTTTCTGAATTCTTTAGCCAGTTATAGGATTTTACTTTTTGTTTTGCTGGAAATATTTCACTCTTTTTAAAATTGGTTTGTATTTCTTTTCAAAACATGAATTTCAGAAAGGAACCCAGTAATCTAAATGGTGTTATTTGGAGTTTGTTTGTTTGTTTGGGGTGGGTGGGGGGGGGGGGTTGGTCTCTTTCTTAAGAGTTAAATTTAGAATAGAAACAAATTTTCTTTTCTTTCTTCTTTCTTTTTTTTGGCATTGTGATGAGTTATTAAATACAAAATTAATTCTATATCAGAACATTGTAAATGGAAAAAAATAATATTAACATGCCGTGACACTGGTTCCAGATTTAATTTGAAAATAATTTATCAAGCATGATTGACATTATTCAAAACTCATGCAGTACCACTGAAATGCAAGCATGAACCTTTGGTTTCCACATTTCTTCACCATTTAATGTGTTCAGTGATACATCTGTTCTCAGCTGTTTGTGGACAATGCAGGCATGACACGTAAGCATTATGATGGATTGACTTAATGAAGAATCTCTTTTTCCCTTAAAATACCAAGCTCCATTAGGTCTGGTATATGTATGTATACTCAATGTAGCTTTGATTATGACTAAGTTTGGTGGTCCATAAGTCAGCCAGATACACTCAAACACGTTATCTTTAAAGCCAAGGAACTCAGTGTGCAGAGGGCAGAACAACTATGGGTTAGTGTGAAATGAATGTTTGAGGTGTTTTAAGTGATAGCACATCTTATCTACCATGGCTTAGCCAATGTTAAGAGGACTCTTAGGTAGCCTTTGTAACTTGGAATGTAAATTGTTTAGCACCACTTCATGTACTCACTCACTTACTCACCTCTACCAGAACCTCCAATTATGCTTTTTAAAACCAAGGATAATTATAACTCTTTCATGTATCTGCCTACTACCTCCTTGGTCTGCATTCATTGCAAATAGCTCCAGGCTCTCATCACCTTAACTAATAGATTTCTAGTACTAGTTAGGGTTAACTAGGACCAAAGTGCTTTGGTGGATGAATTCAAGAGGAAAATTCAGCTTACCTTCCATGAATGTATAGGCTTTAAATCTGTGTGACTTTTTGACAAAACTGTCTTCAGTTGATTCTTGCTCAATAGAGACAAAAGATCATATATGTGCCCTGAACAATAAATTGAGAAGATAATGTTATTCATCTTTAAGTGTTTCTCAGAGAGACTTTAAAGTAGGATTTATAAATGCAAATGCTACAGGACCCAGGCTTGTAACTCAAAGTGGGCCAGGTACAAAATAATAAGGAGGCAGTGGTGTTAAAATGGTAAGCCTTATTTTGTTGTTGCAGTTAAGTGCCATCAAGCTGGTTCCAACCCATAGCAAATCTGTATAGGGTTTCCGAGGAACAGCTGGTGAGCTTGAACTGCTGAGCTTGCGGTTCAAAGTGACTCTGCAAACCAGCACATTAACCCACAGTACCACACCATGATTCCTTGTTTAACTGTATTTAAATAATGATTTTTAAATGATTTATAACCTAGAGACAACTGTTTGAAACTCTTACTTTAAATAATTATACGCTGTATTAAATGGTTGTTTTAAGTACCATAAGTTCAGTTCTGACTCTAGTGACCCTGCATAGGGTTTCTGAGGAGTGATTGGTGAGCTTGAAGCGCTGAGTTTGCGGTTTGAACTGACCTTGCAGTCCAGCACATTAACCTACAGCACCACACCAGGACTCCTGGTAACAGTGGTGTGATATGCTCTAGGAAAATGAAAAGCTTAGAATCATTCCTAAGAGTCTAAAAGCTCTTGGATAAATAGCAAGTAGTTATGTTGCTAGGTCCAGCACGCTTTAGGTGCACTGATGGCATAGAAGGTTAAGTGTTGGACTACTCACCACAAGGAGTACTGGTGTGACAATGTAGGGTAAACACTAGACTGCTAACCTCAAGGTCAGTGATTTAAAACCCACCAGCCATTCTTGAAAACCCTACACAGCAAAACTATGAGTTGGAATCAGCTTGATGGCACTTAATAAACAAGTCACTAACCACAAGCTAGCAGTTCAAACTCACTAGCTGCTTTGTGGGAGAAAGATGAAGCTCTCTGCTCCCATAAAGAGTTACAGTCTCAGACACCTTAAGTAGCAACTCAACTCTGTTCAATAGGGTGACTATGAGTCACAATCAATTCAAAGGCAGTCGCTGTGGGTTTTCTAGACACCGTTCCTTCTCTATTCACCTTTCTAACTCCATGCTTCCCATTAAACATCTCTACTCTTCTACCTCAGTTACATTTCAGGTACAGAGTCTTTCCCTGAAACTGTACATGCCCAGGACCACAGAGCCTACTATGTGGAAGCAATTCATAACTCTTTTGGAATACCAAAAGGGTACATATTTCACCATTTTTTTTTTTTTTATTCCAGCTAAATTTAGGATAGTAATGAATACCATTAAGATCAGCAGCTTTGGCTTAAATGTTTCTTGTATTACAATTTTGTTTGATGTTCTTGGAATTCAGTCCTGTATCTGTTTTTATAGCACTAATCATTGTCTCCTGCTAAAATGAGGCAGGGTGTCTTATGGCTAGGACTAGAGTTCTTCTGCAAAACAGACTTTGGATAGAAGCCAGATTTCACCAGTGGTGTAATATTACACAAGTTTCTTATCCTTCCATTTTACATCTGAAAAATAGGAATAGTGCCTGAAATGAGTATGAGATTTTAGAAAGATAAAGAATATTTAGCACAATGGCTAATACGTAAGCATTCATTAAGTGATGGTGATTATGAGCTTACCTTCTATGATCACTAATTGAGTATATATCTGTCTCCTCTGGATACATGAGCTTTCTGAAGGCATACACATTATTCCTGTGTATTATACATACTGCTCTATTGTTGTTATTGTTTGTTGTTAGGTACCAGAAAATCAGTACCAACTCATAAGGACCTTATGCCCAACCAAACAAAACACTGCCAGGTCCTGTGCCAACCTCACAATCATTTCTGTGCCTGAGCCCATTGGTCCTGTCACTGTGTCAATCTGTCTCTTTGGGGGTCTTCTCTTTTTTGCTGACCCTCTGCTTTACTGAACATGATGTCCTTTTACAGGGACTGATCCCTCCTGATAACATGTTTGAAGTATGCGAGGCAAAGTCAGACCATCCTGGCTTCTAAGAAACACTCTGCCTGTACTTCTTCCAACACAGATTGGTTTGTTCTTTTAGCAATCAATGGTACTTTTAGTATTCTCTTCCAGCACCATAACACAAATGCATCAATTCTTTTATGGTCTTCTTTATTCATTGTCCAATGTTCACATGCATATGAGCTTATTGAAAACACTAGGCTTGGGTTAGGTGCACCTTAGTTCTCAGCTAACATCTTTTTCCTTTAACACTTTAAAGAAGTCTTGTGCAGAAGATTTGCCTAATGCAGTACAGCCTTTGATTTCTTAACTGCTGCTTCTATGAGTGTTGATGGTTGATCAGAGTAAAATGAAGTCTTTGATGACTTCAATCTTTTCTCCATTTATTATGATTTTATTTATTGGTCCAGTTGTGAATTTTTTTGTTTCTTTTACATTGAGGTGCAACCCATATTGATGGTTGTGGTTTTTTATCTTGATCAGTAAATATTTTAAGTCCTCTTTCTTTAAGTCCTCGCTTTCAGCTAGCAAAGTTGTATAATCTGCACATTGCATTTTGTTAAGGAGTCTTCCTCCAATCCTGATGCCACATTTTTCTTCATGTAACCCAGCTTCGCAGATTATTGGCTCATCATACAGATTGAAAATGTATGGTGAAAGGATACTACCCTGGTGCACACCTTTCCTAATTTTGAACCATTCAGTGTTCCCTTGTTCTTTTTGAACAATTGCCTCTTTGTCTTTGTACAGGTTTCTCATGAGGACAGTTAAATGTTCCAGAATACTCATTCTCCACACAGTTGTCCATATCTTGTCATGACCCACACAGTCTTTTCATAGTTAATAAAGCACAGGTAAACATCTTTCTGGTATTCTGTGCTTTCAGCCAAGATCCATCTGGCACCGTCATCTGAATACTGCATGAACCGCTGGCAGT